AATTGCGGTCGGTTACTGAATGAGAAGTGCGCCGTTGCTATTGCCTACTTCGTAAAGTCTCGACATATAGGGTCTGGTCCGGAAGCCAACAACGTCCTTGGTTCCCGCACCGATGCCTGCTGCAAGCTATTACACAAGCGTTTCGCAACGTTCAGATTTGCGTGGCATAACTGATTCGTTTAAGAAGAATTATTTCTTTTAAACAGTTTCAAAGCGTTATATTAAGGGTTATAAGTAGGTCTTAATCAGGTTTCCTATGGTATTTGTTGCAGGATACTTCGCGAAAACAGTTGGGCGACACGAACACAGTCTACTATCGACATCCGGCGTCTTGCGCGTAAACGTTAAAAGCAATGTCAAAGATGTCAGGTTATTTAAAACTCGTTTATACCACCGTTTTTTGTAAAAATTACTTAAATTGTTTAACAAAAACGTAGGTATCAAACGTTCATGCCTAATAATAACAACTTATATAACATAACTAATATTGTGGGATTGTCAACAACTGAATATAATTGTCTAAGCACAACGGAAAATATCTATGAGCTCTACCTCCGAATCGCACACATACACGCACCCGCGCTCAGCTATACAGAGCTAACAACACCATCGGAGCGGCCACAGCACGCATACAACAACGATGCCACCACAGCTACACTGACACGGAGCAACTTGAGCTGCGCACACAACCGCACTCCACGAGCCTCAGCGAGTCACGAGCGGCGACACCACACTTACCACGAGCCATAGCACGGCAACTCGCACTATACACCACACGCCAACAACACCACGCGCACGCACACCAATGCCACGATCATCTATACAACAACGCTGCACACACGCACATCGGCACATACGCACGCACACACACGGTTCTTATGCTCACATGGCATACAAACACTCGCTCACCCAACACGCCATGCCCGGCTCCTCACTCACATTCACACACGCAACACACTCCCCCACGCTCCACACACACAACCACACACGTGCCGCACGCTCGGCTTCCATGAACACCTCACACACTCCCAATGCCAGCTTCCTCACTCACCATTCACACTCGCTCACCAACAAACGCATGCTCGCCTTCCTATGTCACATTCACACACGGCACGACCTCCGGACGCTCACACTCCCCACGCTCACAAAGACACACGACGGCACTATCTGCCAACTGCCACACGACGTACCAACACCTCGCCAACGCACACACACCGCAGCTCCACAAAACACGCTCACCAACACACGCATCGCACGCAAATGTACGGCAGACCACAGCACCTCCCGACGCTCATGCACACAACACGCACAAACTCCCACAATGTGGGCCCACACTCACGCACACACTCCACGCTGACACACACACGCACACACTCCCACTCTCAGCTTCCATGAACACACCGCACACACTCCCTAACGCTCACAACGACAGCACACTCCCACGCTCCCACACAACATAGGCCGCACCAGCCACACATACACGCAACAGAACACAGCATACCGCACGGCACCCCACACCTACCCACCACACTCACAACACAGCTCCTCAATCTATCAACACACACAAGCGCGCGACCACACAGCTCACACACAAACACACACACACAGCAACACACACAACACACAAACCAACGCGCCACCGCAAACCCACATCCACGCATACACACGTACCAATCGCTCGCGAACGCGTACAAACCGACGCGCTACGAACACACACCGCACCACAACAACAAACACACACACACACACACACCACACACACACACACACACAGCACACACAACACGGCGCACGTACTGAGGGGACGACACGACGCACGCACCGTTACCACGCGTGTCCTGGCCCCCCTGCAGCAGGCCGCGCCACGACCACACATCACGACCACGCACCCACAGGCATACGCACACACGCACGCATCCGTAACTCGTACCGTTCTGTGGCCCCCTCCTCGCAGACCCGGCGGCACACAGGCCTCCACATCACACGTGTTTGCCGGGAGCAGCAGTTTCGCTCGACGCACGCACGCACACCACGCACCGCACACGGCCGGCACCACCGTTCTGCTCCCCTCCTGCGCGCCGCCGGACACATCACATCAGCGCACAACACAACGCGCACGACAAACCGAGCGCCTGTGCTTTGCGGCACACCGACACACAATACACCACACACACTCAACACACACACACACAGAGGCACCTCACTCACACCCACACCACACACACACAACACACACACATACACACAAGGTGCGCACAACACTCACAATCACACACACACACAGCACACAGCACACTCACACACACACACACACGACCACCAGCAAAACACACACACACCCACCACCACACCACACAACGCCCACACACAGGCTGACACGAACACACACACACACACAACACACACACCCAGCCTCCCCACGCGTACTCACCATTCTGGCCCCTCCTGCGCAGCCGCGCCTGCGTCTTGTTGTGCGGCGTCACCAGGTAGTCATGCACGACGTCGAAAATCCCTCCAATACGCAACGGAACTGAGAACAACACACCGGCAATCACAACACGAACAAGCTGGCGATGACAGACAGGCCACACGCTATGCCCATTGTACCGAGCAGCAAATCACTCGAACGCCGACCACTACACCATACACACACATCCACCCGCCGGCTCTCCGTCTCTCTCACCGCGAGTCCGCACAAAGGGTTCGCAGGCGCGAGATCACGAGCACGACAGCGGACGCACAAACGGAACTACATCAAGCGTTTCGTTACTGCGATTAGCCAACACATGCCAGCACACCACACACAGAGTGCACCACGTTCAAGACAATCCGAGCGAGGAGCCACAAACAATGAAGAGCGGGTAAACTTCTAGCCGACGATGCGAAGTGAGCCACACAGTCACACGCACTAGAAACGTGCTGTAAGTGCTACGTGTTAAACTATAGATAACAGCAAAAATGATACAAGAGTCAAACACAACGACTACGGCAGTTCCCCCCAGGCGAAACGGTTGGACCGGGACTCCAGAGAGAGACACTCATGACACGAGAGCTACGTAGTAGTGAGACAGCAGGAAGTGATGATGACAGAGTGGGGGAAAGAGGGGAAGAGGAGAGAGGAAAGGAGAGAGAGAGAGAGAGAAGTAGAAGAGAGAGAGAGAGAGAAGAGAGGAGAGAGAGGAAAGAAAGACCAAGCGAACAGCGAGATAGGAGCGAGAAGAGAGAGAAAAGAGGAGAGAAGAAGAGGAGAGAGAGGAGCAAAGCACAACAGAGAGGAGACGAGCGACATGAGATAGAGCAACAAGCATAATATACACAGAACAACAGCACACACATAACAGTCACACACAGAGAGAGGAGAGACAGCACACACACACAAGCGAAGCACACACACAACACAACCACAGAAGAGAGACGAGAGAGTGAGAGAAGTGAGAGAAAGAAAGAATAATTAATCTGATTAGGGGAGGAGTGTGTGGAGACGAGGGAAAAGGAACGATACAAACATCGAGTTAGGGAACGTGGACGAACAACGGGTAATTTAGGGACGTGGACGAACAACGGGGGTGTATGGAAGCCGGTGGAACCGAACACGTATTAAGGGCATGAACGACAACGGGCACTAAAACACGAACGATGCAACCACAACACAAATAGAATCACAATACACACACACACTCAATCTTGCCACACACACACACACACACACCACTCACACAGACACACACACACGGAGTTAGGACGCGGACGCTCCCTACTAAGGAGTAGTTCTCCAAACGCATTGCTGGCGCTAAAATTAACTGCCTACAAGAAAGGCGATGTTTTGCTCTGCACAGCGAGAAAGAGCGCGTTATGTGCGAGCCGTCGACATTCGTGGACTGAGAATAACAGTGAGACAAAGAAGATAGGTAATAATAATGTTGGGGAGACACTCTGCATTGAAGAGCTGTTGAGTCTGATGGTAAAACACGGACGGAACTGCACAACGGAAGCGCAGCTTTATACAGTCGTGCAAAATTCCACGGTTTTTTTCAAAAATTTTAATTGTCAAAACTGTAATCATGTAAATCATCAACGCGATACTCCTGGCGACCTGTTAAAGTCAAAGCAAACCAATCTAATATATAATGAAGAGATTAAAAATATAGAGGACGTGCGCGGAACGGATTAGTAACTATAACAGCACGGGAACGTGTAATGTCACATACCCGGCACTGGAACCAACGAGAGTGAAAGTCACTGACACAGTGCGATACCCAAGAATGGACAACGGTATTAGAGTGACAATTGGTCTGCGGAGAAACATCCCCAAGACGACAACGAGTCTAGAAGAGGAACCGAGAGCGGCACACAAGTCTGAGGCTAATTTAGGGAACCCATTCAGACCCAGCTAGCTACCTACACATGCAAACCGGTGGACCGACACATAACCGGACGTTACTGACCACGGCGGTAACCAGACCTGTCACGGAACACGAGTTAGGGTAGACCCGGTACGTACCGGAACATACGCATGGGTAATGTCATCTAAGCCCTATAAAGGTGGTCATGGTCCAATGACACGCGTGGAGCGTGTATCCCGTATGCGACCAGTGCGAGTCTTGACCTGGAGTGATTAGGTAGACGCTTGATGAACTACAAAATGAGCTACATTTAGAGTCGTTTTAACCCAAGTTACTGGTTGCGGACAGAATCACGACGGGTTAGTTACTGACGAAACAACGAGTTAGGGACAGCGACAGAACCAACGAGTAGGACGCGACGAACAAAGTGGTAATAGGGACATGGAGCGAACAACCGGTTAGGACGTGGAACGAACAACGAAGTTAGGGACGGCGGAACGAACAATGTTAATTAGGACGTGAACGAACAACGCTAGGCGACGGCGGACGACGAGGATGCAGGACATTAAACAACGAGGGATCAAGGACGAACAACGGGTAATTAGGGACCGTGGACGGAACAACGAGTTAGACCGGCGACTGAACAACGTTATCGGACGCAGACGCAACAACGGATAATACGACATGGCACAGACAACGGGCTCGTAGGACGGACGAACAACGAGTAGGGACGCGGACGAACCGAGGATCAGGCGACAAACAACGGGTAATTAGGCGAGCCGTGGACGAACAACGGGTTAAGTGCACGCGGGACGAAACGAACGGGTAATTAGGCGACGAGTGATACCAACGGTTACGTGACACGACGAACAACGAGTTAGGGAGCCTGACAGAACAACGAGTAGGGACGCCGGACGAAACCAACCGGGGTAACCTTAGGGACGTGGACGAACAACGGTTAGGCCGATGCGGGACGAACAACGGCTAATTAGGACGACGTGACGAACAACGAGTTAAGGGACGCGGACGAAAACAAACGGGTTAAGGGATTCGCAGACGAACAAACGGTAATTAGGGACATGACGAAACAACGGGTTAGGGTACGTGGACGAACAATCGGGTAGTGACAGCCCGGACAACAACGACGTTAGGCGACGGCGACGACACGAGGACTCAGGGCATGAAAACAACGAGGGAACTGGACGAACATACCAGAGATAACATGACGTAATCAACGAGAGCGTGAATGTAAATGTGTGACGTACATTATAACTTGAGGACGAAAGTAATCCCGGCTTTTGGTGCAGAGTCTTGAGTTAGTAACCTTTTAAAAAGTAGGTTTAAAACACGGTTAAACTTATCGTTGTTGATACGTCGGTAGTGTTTATGTGATGAACCTTTTGGGTTAAAACTCGTTAGACTCTTTAAACTGGTTCGTTCTGTAAGCCCGGCTTTTGGTGCCGAGTCTGAGTTAGTACTCTCCTTTTAAAAGTAGAAGATGATTGCAAAATTGTAATCGCGTTAGTGCCGTAGTTTTTTTTATTAAAACTGAGTCATCTCGCGCACGAGTCGTGACGATTGATTTAGACAATTTTTTATTAATCCATCGTGCGCGAGTTTTGGCGATTAATTGATCGATTAAATGTTGATTAAAACTTAATTAATTAAATGTTAGTTTAAACGATTAATTCGGCATTTTTGCGAACCTTTGTGTCTCGTTAATCGTCTCACGGGGATTCTTGGCACCGTTCCAGGTTCCGACGTCAACCGCACGTCGCCTAACAGCCTGAACCGGCGCCTGCGCACCGTCTCCGACTGCGGCCTCGGCCCACAAGAGGGCGCCGTCAACGGCTTGGACGACCGTCGCTACGACGACGTGCACGGCGTCAAGAACCCGCGCAGCCCCTGCACGCCGCCGCCCGTCGAGTGACCGCCAGGGGGCGCCGTCCCGCGCCGTCGTCGGTGATTGTGATGTTCGTGGCGCGGCGGCGGAGCGTTGCGGCAGAGCGTCTCTTGTTATTCATCCCGGCGGTCGTCGCCGAGTGCGGGGAAGGGGTCGCGAACCTTTCGCTCTTCCTCTGCAGGTGGCAGCACCATCCGCTACGTAGCACATCGTTCGCCGCCCCGCGGCACTTGTTTGCGCTCCTTGCTGCCGCCGGCGCACATCGCATTCTGGGTGACGCGCAGAGGGTGCGAAGAATTTAAAGCGGCGTAGGGGGGCGTACGATGGATGTCTGCATCCAAGATATTTTCTCTTTGATTCGTATGTTGCCCCATAGATGGCGCAGCAAGGCGGGTTAGCGAGGTTGCCGGGGGCGCAGGCGATTTGTGTGCTTAGCGTAGGGGGCCGGGGAAGTAGCGACAGTGTTTCTCCTTCTCGCTGCACGCCTGTTGTAGTGAGTCCAAGTCAACGCTGCGCGATGCTACCACGTGGCTCTACCTGGTTGCGAGAACCGTCGTCGTCGAGGCCGGCGTAACAAGAGAGCAGCTGCGCTCGCTCGGGTCGCGCCGAGTGCGTGATCGAGGTGTGGAATTGAATCGTCATTCTGTATTTTGTGTTTGTATTTGTATTTAGCTGTGAGTGAGTGCACAGGTGCACGCGCAAACCGTCGGGCTGAGCTGGTGCGTTTGCATTTTTATTTGTTTTGGTGGCATTGAGGATTATGTGCATATCTTAGACGGATGTCGTTTGTGTAAACGTGGCGTGACTGCAACACATGAGCTCTAGTTAATAGTAATTGGTGCATACATACATATATACATGCATGCATTATCTTGTACATACATACATACATACATACATACATGCACGCAAACACCTATGAATGAATGACTGAATATACATGCACATACACGCCACATACGCAAACACGTGCGCAGACGCGTGCACGCACGCCAGCACACACCTTTAGGCCTTACGCTTGGGCCAGCACTCTAGTGTTTCGTCTGGTCGGTGGTTGCACTTGTGTTTCTGCGGCAATACGCGCGCACGAACGGAAATGTATAGTAATATGAATCGGCAGGTTTTTAGTTTTTTTAAACTTATGTTTATCTTAATTTCGTGCTTCATATGTCGTCATCATTATTGATGCGCGTAGCCACACTTGTTTTATGCACTCTGCTGGCGCGGCGAAGTGTTTCCGGATTCGTTCCACTAGGTGCCAGTTAGGTTCCTCTTCCTCTCTTCCCGTCCTCACCAACAACTAGTCCTACTGCTCGCACATTGAGGGTGGATATGGGGTGAGCGTGAGAGGAGAGGAAGTGGATTGGCCGGCTGTGTGCTTTTTGCCTCAAGGGCGGCCATACTCTGGACGCATAATCAGGCTGAAATGGGCTGTCGCACGACCAAGAACCGTTTCCAGAGACCACATAGAAACACCTAATCTGTTCTAGGTCTCTGCCAGAACCCACACGCCAGATCAATGGCCGCTTGCTTACTCTACATCCTTCTTGTTATATTTAGCTCCTTGGGCGTGTGAGGAGTGCAGCATATAAGCGCAGTGGCTTACTTCAGTCGACTTTCAAAAGAAAAACTTTTCGTCCACAGCTCAGTGTGTGCGCCGTTGTGACTTGCCGTATATCACTCTTGAACCTGTTACGAACCCAATTTTTTCGCAGCCTGCTCACCGCCTGTCTTTCGCGCATCAACGTTTCACACAGAACTTACACGCGACCGAATACATCTCGTACTGCACAACGCGTCACGACGGTGCTTCCGATTTCTGTAAATTTATAAATATATTTGTATTTATAAGTTGCTAGGCAGACGATTATTCTACGTATATATACGACAATATATAGATACTATACGACAGTTATATATATGCAGATGATTATGAGGCAGTAGATCTTCGACTAACGTTTAGTCTGCCGACGGTAGGAGGTGTTAGGAGCAGGTGCTGCTGCTGTATAGTACGCATTGGTTCTCCGTACACATCTGATTAACTTCTCCCTCCTAGCCTCATATGCGGTACACGATTATCTGTATGCCGCGTTGACTGGCTAGATGCTTGTTGTCTGGACTGGCCAGAGAGACGTGTTCTCACATCGGAGCATATTTATACCCATATTCATAGATAGCTGGCTGGCTGCCTTGCCTGGCTGCTGCTGCTGCTGCTGCCTCGCTGGTCGGCTGGTGGTCTGGCTTGCTCGCTACTCACTATCTCGCTCTCGCTATCGCTTTCTTGCTCTCTCACATGCCTTCAGCTGGTGGTGGTGGTGGACTCTGCTCGGACATGCTTCGCGCAGCCTCGCTAGTCTCTCCCGATACTCCGCGCGTATGTGGGTTGTTAAACACGTTCCAGTGTCGCCAGCACCACGCACGCACGCACAGTCTCTCTCCCCACCCGTCAGCACAACATCCTTATTCTCTCTCTCACACCTCTGTACGCTCGGCTGTCACCCTTTATTATTACACTGCAGATAATGACAGCAACGCCAACGGCAGCAGGCAACTAGGCCTGACAGTGCTATAAATACATGTGTGTACGTGTAATGGTTCGATAATGTGTGCTGTATTTCGCGTGCACGACACGTTTCTCTCTCTGTCTCTACCTCTCTCTCTCATCACTACATCTCTTCTCCTCTCTCGCTCCCCCAGATTCGCTCCTTTCTTCACTTCTTTTTCTCTCTCTCTCGCCTCGGCTCCCTCTCTTCATTTTCTCTCTCAGTCCTCTTCTTCTCCTCTCTCCTCCTCCCTTCCTCCTCTCTCTCTCCCCTTCACTTCATATCTCTCCCTCGTCCCTTTCTTCCTTTTCTCTCTCTCCTCTCTCTCTCCCGCTCTCGCCTCGTTCATCGAGCATCCGCCTTTTCTTGCTTTCTCTCTTCTCGCTTCTCCTCTCTCTCTCCTCGCCCTTTCTCTTTCTCATCTCTCCATGCTCTGCCATCCCTCCTCTTCACTGCAACTCTCCGCCCTTCTCTTCTTTCTCTCTCCTCTCTCCTCTCTCTCCTCTCTCCCTCTCTCTCCTCCCTCCGTCTCTTCTCCTCCTCTCTCTCTTCTCTCCTCTCTCTCCTTCCTTCGCCATCGCTCTCTCTCTCTTTCGCCTTGCTACCCATTTCTTTTTTTCCCCCCGCCTTCTTCTCTTCTCTCTCTCCCTGCTCTCCTTTTTCCTTTCTCTCTGCCCTCTCTCTCCTCCTCGCTCCCTGGCTCACCTTTCCTCTTTCTCTCTCCTCTCTCGGCACAGACTCGTGCACCAGCTGTATCATCCTCTGCTGCTGCTGCTGCTGCGCTGCTGCTGCTGCTACTACTACTACTGCTGCTGCCTGCTAACTGCTGACTGCTGGCTACTGCTGCTGCTGCTGCTGCCTCTGCGCTGCTGCTGCTGCTGCTGCTGGCCGCTCGCTGCTACTGCTATCTATGCTGCTACTGCTGTTGCACGTATGATTAGTGCAGTCACCTTCCACGTGTGCGCGCTACCTGTGCAGTACGCTAGTAGTCATTAACGCGTTGCTTAAGTAATTACTGCTAATTACTAATTACTGTGTAATATATATGTAGATGAGCGCGGGGTCGATGCAAGGAGAAGGAAAAATTCGGGAGGGGGCACTCCTTGCGTGAGAAAAGAATATGCACAAGCACTTGTCGTTCGCGATCATAGATGGCGCTGATGTTAACGTGTGTTTCGCGTGCTGTCATTGTGGTGGCTAACCGTGGGCGATAGTATATTGTTATCTGTTACTCAGCCAGGCATTCGTGTACTGAGTAGCGCACACACACATACCTGCACATAGTGTATAGTAAACGTTGATAATCCCGAGCAAGGGAGTTAGTTTTATAATCGGGTAATAATTCCTGTATTTTTTTTATACAAGTTGGCACTCCGGAAATCCGTTGTCGTCGATAGTCTGTAATGGAGCACACTTCGTACTGGCCGTACTTTTTTTCGCAGTAGCTGGAACATTTTACTAGTGCCATTTATTGTCATCTATTGTGTCTCTTATTGTCGTCATTATTTTAATCTCGTGTGTGTATCAGTGCGTCTATTTTCATTGGGTGTTGCTATCCCCCGGGCGTGGAGGGACAGTCACGTGATACAGTTGACGTATACTTCAAAGTCAAAATCTTCCACAGAAAGATTCCACAGTCATACTTCCGTACTAGAACATGGCCTATATCCCTAACCCTAATCCCTAACGCTAACCCTAACCCTAATCCCTAACCCTAACCTAACCCTGATCCTGATCCTAACGCCTAATCCTAACACTAGTGCTGCCACATTGCGGTACTGTCCCTCCACGCCCGGGGGATAGCATTTCCCATTTTCATTCCTCCTGGTTGCATGTGGCGCCACTTTACAGTAGTGCTACTGCTGTGTATTTTAATTAGAAATACTATCGGGGTATTTAGTTATTGTTATTATTATTATTATCATTTGTTATCTTGTTAGAATGTCTGTGTTACGCCCATGCGCATTTTAAGTTTGTGCGTCTCTTTTTTTCTCAATCACCGTGTTATGTTTCTGTTGTTTGGGCGGTAGGGGGCGTTGCTTCTCGTGGTGGAGCCACTAGCGCTTACGTACGTTTGTACGTATTCACAGCTTGTAAATTTCACTTGCTTACTTTCCGTCTTGCACGAGGAGACGCGATTTACAAAATACAAAAATTCGAAAGCGTTCTACTTCATCGTTATTCAACAATATCGAGTACTGTTTGAAAATTGTTAATTATAGACCTCCTTCTCCCCCTCCATTCCGTCCTCCTTCTTCGCCCTCTTCTCGATCCTCCCCCCCCGCTCTTCCTCCACCCTCCTTCGTCTCCTCTTCCCCCATCGCCCCTCTTCCCCCTCCTCCTCCTGCCTCCTCCTTTCGCTGTTCCTCCTGCCCCAGACCCGACACCGGACCCGACCCACCACGTTGTAATGTACTATAGTGGCGTAAGGTGTGTATTCGGAATAGAGCATTCTTGCTTCGTTTCGACTGTCGTCTTTGTTTG